CTAATTGAGCGTGATGGATCAGCATTTCTTAATTGGTAGGAATATTGCTTTACCAACAAGAAAATATCTTAAATGATTATGAATAAAGACAGATACATAAAAGAGAGCTCAGTGGGTGCTCTAATACACACTACAATAAATAAATTAAGTATCAAATACTTAATCGTTTCATGGGCTTTTTTCATAGAATTATTAACATGTGTTTTTATGAAAATCTATTTTATTTCCCTGTTTAAAAACCTTTAATTGGTCTTTTTGCTCACTGAGCGGCAAGTTAACAGTGGTTTACTTTGTCTTTCAGACTCAGTTCAGCTTAAACACTGACATATAACATTTTTTTTCAGTTTTACAGACTGAAGCTCCTGTTAAGACAGAGTGGTTTCCCTCCACTCAGGTGCATTAAGTGCACATCGTGCTTCAGGGAGATGGAAGGGGATCATCAGTCAGTCTTAGTTGGCATTAGCTCTTTATCAGCTTGGTGTGTCTGAGCTCTTACGCATATGTAATTTAACATGCTACCAGCTGACCTACAGAACGTAACTCATGCAGCTTACACTGTACAGATTTGCTGATGTAGATTTCAAATATTTAAAAATATTGCTCCACTGTAATTGGCCATTTCGATAAATATGTTATCAGTGACTGTGTGAGAGTTTGAGTGAAAGTAGGGGAGCAATTTTTTCAAATGCTAAAATGTGTTAACTATATACTAACATTAGTCAGCTATAGCCTTTCACAAACACGTGTGTTTAATAATATAGGGGTGAAACGATGCAGAGCTGCTCCATTTACTGTTTTTGTGTGTCCTGTTAAAAATAAGACATTAATGAGACATAATTCATCTGTGTTCAGATGGCGGAGCGTATCTTATCTTACAGCAGGAAGCAGACTAGAGTTCAAAAATGTTCGGAAAGCTTGCTCAACATGTGTCACTTCTTATGAGGTAACCAATCAAAAAAGAGGGTAAAACTGAACCGGAGTACTGTGGGCTGAAATAGTGAGACAGTTTTGTTCATATTTGTGATTAAAAAAGAATCAGCCTGAAGATGAATATGAATTCCTTGGTGTATGTACATCCTCTCCACTGCTATCACTGAGGTTTGCTAAAAAACCTTGAAAATAGACGATGAGCTCCTCTCAGCACTGTAGCTTGGTGAGAAGCGTACTTCCATGTAGAAACACGATGCTGTGTCTCTTTCTAACATTGCTAATGTTCATGTGGGCTAAAGAATTAAACCTGGTGGACTTTTCTACTCGTCTTTCTGCGTCTCCTCCAAAAAGAAATGCAACAACCGCTAGTTTATTCAGTTTATCCATGTAGCGGTGTGTGATGTGGTGCTGAACTTCCAGCCCATAAACGTGTCACAGACGGATTCCTCGCGGTTTAGATGCAGATTTTTTGCAATGTGCGTTCTGCCATCTGAACACAGCCTTAATCATCTTTTTGAGATAATAAGCTATAATAAACTATCTGGCAAGAACAGGTTTCCAATTGAATGTACACTTTTGCGTTGTGGTGGTCCTTGTTCATCCAATTCATGAGGCATTTTCTCTAATGTCCATCACAGATGACAGGTTTACTTCACAGGAGATTCATTAAATTCCATAGAAACTATAACTTTGTAATCTCATCTATCAATTGTTGTCCTACTTTCTTTATGGTTCTAAATCAAACGCACATATTAAGAAGTACATGAATATTAAGAATAAAAATATCACTAATCAGTGTTTTCTGTCAGAGTTTTCTGTTTGTTTTTGTGAAGTAAAAGTTGTCCTGACTTTTTTTTCTGTTGTCTTCATTTGATACTTCAATATAGTGATCATTAGATTAAGTTACAGATGATGTTAAATTGTAGAGTTAGTCAGTAATCTGTACTGTATACGTGTTTAAAGTAACCCTCCCAACCCTGAACACAGTGAGCTGCTGCTGTACGGGGTTAAAACTGACCTCATGTATCTTACAGTCAATAGAGTCTCAACTACTGAAATTCAGTAATAAATCAGATCTAATATACAGACAGATGAGTTTATATCACAATAAAACAGTAACTCACATGTATATCCTCTAAAGTTAGATACTCACATATAGCCCTGCTTTGGGCAGGAGTGATGTGTTTTTACAACTTCTAGTATTTCTGTGTCTGGAATTTTAAAAGTGATGAAGTTGAAGCAGCACAGATCAGGATGGCACAAACCATGAGCTGAGGAAGAGAAGAAGAAAACATTCTTAGTTTATGTTTTAATTACTGTAAAAAATCAACACAACTTCATCAGCTCCACTACAGCTACACCTGAACACAAAGCACATGTTAAATACAGACTGTTCAGGGTTAAATGACTGTATAGCAACCAAGAAAATCTACAACGTGTTTTACTATTAATAATAATAACTACGTAATATTAAGCCTATACATAACACTAGATGAAGTAATTAATATGAATTTATTAGTAATTGTATCATTAAACCTAGCATGATTTAATATGAATAATTGTATGTATTTTTATTATTATTTTAATGCTACAGACATATGCGAAATTTTGGACAACCTTGTCCGAGTTAAAATAACATAACACACTCTATACAGAGAACACATTTCTACACATTTAAATGACTGTATATTTATGAATGTAACATGAAAAAAAGAAAAATAAAATTAAGTACAAATCTTCCAAAGTAACATGTAAATATAGTAATAATGTACAACTACTACTAAGTATTTCCCACCCCTGATTGTTCACGCATGTAAAGCTAGAAAATGGATTAAGATATTATAAACTCACGGCAACCATCTGAGGAGACGGTCATCAGCAGGACCAGCCCCGGCACCAAACACACACAGCTCATCTTCATCTCCATCTTCTCTGCAGGCGTCTGAAGCTCTGAATGTTTCTATCTCTGTCTGTATCTCCAGTTTGAGCTGCTGAGACTCTCAGTCTTTTAAAAGAAATCACTTAAATTTGAATCATTTCTTAAAGCTCCCCTCCCCACTCAGCTTCCGGCCCTCACCACATCTTCCTCTCAGAGTGCAGAGCAGAAACTCTAGTATGAAGATGATCCATGAAGATAGCAGCTCTGATGAATCTGATAAGTTCAGTGGTCTAAATATCAGACAGTTACTGAAAACCTGTCACGCAGTTTGTTTATGCAGTAATAATTAAGAAATCATCATTTAAATTTATCAAATTACCCCAACCTGTTACATAACTCAGTCTATCAAACCTAATTAGATGCAAAGGTGCAAATGTTTTGTAGAGAACTCGGCAAACAGCTTTTCATCTTTCAATCTTCTGATCTGGTTTGTGTTTCTGTAAAGTTGCAAATATATAAATTTCTCTTTTAAGTGAAAAACACTGCAGTTAAACGCTACAGAGAGAATGAGGCTCCTAACAGCCCCCTGTTTCTTCCCCTGTGTTGTAGCCATGTGCATTTAGTTTTTATTTTGGCTCCTTGTCTCTGCCCTTTTTCTCTCCTTCCCTATTAGGATTCTCACCTGCTTGTAGTTCCTGTCTCCTCCCTCTCGCTGGTGTTCCCCGCCTATATCAAGCCCTTCGTTTCAGCTCATGGGTGTCTAGTCTACATTATGTTGTTACATGTAGTGATGACGTGTCTGCCCAGTGTTTGGTTTGCTCTGGATGTTTGTTGGTTAAAAGGCTTGTAGTTTGTTATTTTGTTTCTTTCTCGGTGTTTGTTATAGTTTGTTTTTTGTTTATTAAATTATCCTCACACTTACATTCAGCCTCATTATTCTCCACACGCGACACCAGGGAGACCTGGTAGACAGCAAAACTGCCCCCATCAGATAAACAGCACTTAAAGCTTTCATCTTTGAGAGAGAGGAGAAAATCAAGCTGCTTTAGGGGAGCTGAGCACCCAGTAAGACAACCCCCCCCCTCCCCATCACTCTATAACAGTACTTAACTGATACACATACAGACAGCAGTAGTCTAGCACCTTGGCTTTAAGATCAGCACAATAGCCCTGTCTCATTATTACACTGTTTTATGGTTCTGCAAATGTAAAAGCACACAAAGCCTCTACAATATCACCACTACATTACTGCATCACTCTCTTATATCACATCAATGAAATACTATTACAATATAGATAATTCACTCGAAATGTATGCAATGCATACTTTTATTTTTTGTTTTTAGTTTTTATTTTGAATCACAGTGTAACACAAACATTAAACATATTTCATAGAAGCAATACATTGTGTATTGTATAGAAGCTGCAACACTGAAATCCAATTTGTCTTTATTACTGTTACTTTTCTCTGCAGAGATTTTTGTAATACATTGTTTGATTTCCACACATGATAAACATGATAAAAAAGCTGATAAAATATTAAATAGCTAAACTGAGTAAAAAACCAAAGCGCTGATTAATAAATCCTGTGATGATTAAAGGGGTGTGTAAAGCTTTTAGCTGCTATGTTTGCTGCGTCAGGGCTGTGTTGAAGCTGCGGCTCTGAAATCTAGTTTTTCTTCAGGATTATTTCCTCCATGCAGAACTTGTTCTTCTTCGTTGTAACCCTGAAATATGTTAATCAGATTTGATGTAGAAACAAATGTTATTAAATGATATAATAAAACAGGAAACAATCTATCATTGCTGTCAGAACAAAACCTTGTCAAATTATTTTTTTTAACATGATTTGAAATCAGCGGCTGTTATTTACAATCAGACTTTCATGATGAATGGACCAGTAGAAATACTCCAAATATAAAACTTAAAGTTAACTCCTTAAAATCACAGGCTTATTACTTTATTTTACTCAGATTCACAAATGAGTTTTCCTTTACTAAACTGCATCTGTAGGTCTCTGTTCATAAACATAAACTAGCCAAAACTAATTTACTATAAAATGAAATAGTGTTTTTATAAATTCAGAAAAAAGACACATCAGTCACAACTGCATATGTGTACATATTTCTATATTGTGGTCTGTTTACACAAAGTTAGGTTAGTTCATCGTTTATGTTGAATAGACTCTCCCAAAGTTTTATGCTGCTGCGCTGAAGTTGAACCGTGTGCTGCACTGGGTCGGTATGACCAACAGGTCAAAACTAAGTGTGCGCTGTGCCCTGATTGGTGTTCTTGCTTCACGCCTCTTTCCTTTTGACGCTACGTTTTCATACACACATACAAACCAATACAAACCAAAAGGAACGACAGATTTCTCATAATGTAGTGGAGTAAAAAGTGAGATATGTGACTTTGAAATGTAGTGGAGTGAAAGGAAAAAGTCACCCAAAATGAAAATCCTTCAGTAAAGTACAGATACATGAAAAAACTACTTAAGTACAGTAACCAATTACATTTACTTTGTTACTGTCCACCACTGCAAAAACTTGCCGATTTTATCAGTCTAAGCGGTGTGTGCTCGGCTGGAGCAGAAGGGTTTCTACAGTGAGCAAAAGTTGTAATGATTTAAACTTTTTAGACCCTCGATGGATCAATTCAAAACGATAATCCTTTCGATTAGGTCACAGATTACGTTATATTACAGATTATTAAGAGTTAGTCAGTAATCTGTACTGTACATGTGTTTAAAGTAACTCTCCCAACCCTGAACACAGTGAGCTGCTGCTGTACGAGGGTTAGAACTGACCTCATTCTTCTTACAGTCAATAGAGTCTCAACTACTGATATTCAGCAACAAATCAGATACAATATTCAGACAGATGAGTTTATATCACAATAAAACAGTAACTCACATGTATATCTTCTAAAGTTAGATACTCACACATAGCCGGGCTTTGGGCAGCTGGAATATGTTTTTTCAACTTTTATGATATTGTCTTCTGGAATTTGAAAACGGACGAAGTTGAAACAGCACTGAACAGGATGGCCAGTGGCTTCAGCTGAGGAAGAGAAGAAAACATGCTTAGTTTATGTTTTAATTACTGTGAAAACCAACACACCTTCATCAGCTCCACTACAGCTACACCTGAACACAAAGCACATGTTAATCTGTCCAGGGTTAATAACTGTGCCCAAACATCAAAATCTGTTTTAATAATAAAACATCCAGAACTGCATTGTTTTGTAAATTCTGGATGATGTGCAAAACTACAATATTCTTTTTTTTAATACTACTGATTATCCTACTACTAATACTGATGTACATTACTACTACTACTACAACTACTACTACTACTACTACTAATAATAATAATAATAATAATAATAATATTTTTAGTACTAGTGGAAGTACATAAAGTTATTAGTAATAGTATTTATATGAATATAAGCAATAGTTAATGTAAATATTGTAATATTTTTAATTGTGTTTTATTGTTACTTGTTACTTATTTTCAGTTAGAAAATGAACAAAACCCTGCAGAACGTTTAAACGTCTGCGTAAGACTGTATGGCTGTATCTGTTTATAAAGACAGAAAATGCAAACTCACTTGCATCTGAGGAGACGGTCATCAGCAGGACCAGCCCCAGCACCAAACACACACAGCTCATCTTCATCTCCATCTTCTCTGCAGGCGCCTGAAGCTCTGAATGCTTCTCTTTCCGTCTGTATCTCCAGTTTTAGCTGGTAAGGCTCTGTATTTAAATTAGTTTCTTTTCAAACATTTATTAAAAGCAGGCAGTTCTGCCCCCCACCACCCCCACCACTCACCACATCTTCCTCTCAGAGTGAAGAAGCAGAAGCTCCAGTGTGAAAATGACTCATGATAGCATCAGATGTATCAGATAAATGCCATGTATGAGTCTGCAGACTGTCAGTTAAGGTACTCACTCTGTTCATGAAGTAACTGATCACAACACGCTTGCACATATGCATCACAGCTAATTTGATGCAGAAGAGGAAAAGTGTTGTAGAGAACTACACAAACGGCTTTTCATCTTTTTAAAACCTTCCTATCTGGCTTATGCTTTTGTAACGTTGCAAAAACATTCATTTTTCTTTTAAGTGAAAAAAACAAGTTTCCAAAACTGAAGTTCAAAAAGGGAAAATGGGGCTCCTAACAACCACCTGGAAGACCTGGTAGACACCAAAACTGCCCCCATCAGACAAACAGCACTTAAAGCACAGGTGTTTCTGTCCATCCTTCCACTGAGAGAAGACGACTCAGCGCTGTGGGTCTGAAAGGATGTGTAGCTGTCAAGAAGCCTTTAATAGGACATAGAAATAGACCAAAAAGAAAAATATCTGCACTAATGCACCAAAACAGTGCCACTGCTAGTGTCCACTCCTACCTTGGCGTCACGTCCTCCTCTCCTCTTCCTCCTCAGCAAGGTGGATCTCCTCATGGCTCGTGGTATTACTCCTGGTGCTACTGGCAACAGCAGTGGCACTTTCTCTGCTCACTCTCTACTTTCTCTGCCCTCCCATGACTAACCATCCAGCCTTTCCGTGCCACATCTGGCCCCCAGCTGTGCCGCACCTGCCTCACTGTCAACCTTCCTGGAATCTTCCCTGTCGTTGGGCCTTCCAGAGCCAGCTTGGCCTCCAGCCCTGCCATGCTGGCCTTGCCATCAGGCCTCCTTCTGCCAGCTGCTCTCTGTGCATCATCACCAGCAAGTTCTAGCGGCTAGCTGCCGTCCTCCAGCATAGCTCTGCTGTCGAGCCTCATCATGCTGCCCTAAACGCTGACTTCTCACCACCCATCTTCTCCATGCTGCTCCTCCTTGCAGTCCTCGGCCAAGATTGATCTTCTCCACCATTTTGCCACTAAGATTGCCATTCCCCTCCAGTTCACTAGGGGGCAATCTCACTTCTGACATCAATGTGGTGTCAATGTAGAATAAGAAGATGTGGGAAACATGGCACCTTCAATGAGTGCTCTTTCATTGACACAGAAGCAGGTTAGACGCACTGCTGCAGAAAGGAAAGCAGCATAGGTCACCTTATGTCTCTCACTCCATTGCTACAATGGTACTTGTGGTGCTCCACACTCACTGCTCCACATGGCTCTGGATTGAGGTAAGGATGTGGCATTAAATGCTGACATTTGTCTAACAATTGAGTGGTGGAATCAGCTAAACTTATTGAGTTTAATTCCCAGTGGTGTCAGAGTGGCACCAGGAGTCCAACAACTGTGGAGAAAAACTTGAACAGATTAATAAATACAAACCCCATTTCCGGAAAAGATGGTACATCTCGAAAAATGTAATAAAAACAAGAATCTTTAATCTTAAATCATCTTGAATCTTTATTTAACTGAGAAAAGCACAAAGAAATGACTTTTAATGTTGGAGAACATCATTCAGAGATACTTCAGAGAGACCTTTTTAACATTAATGCCGGTTGTCAGAATAAGAATGAGACATCCTGAGTTAAACTAACTCCTCATCATAGCTGCTGGCCCAGGCTGTGCGTATGAGGATTATGCTAAATCCAGGTGTGCATTAATTTAAAACACACAGTATAAGCCACATGTGTGAAACACGAGATCAGGCCCGCCACACTATTCTATCCAGCCCACAGAAGTATTTTCATTTTCTATTAATATTAGCCTGTTTCACAATACGCTGCACTACAGTCCTCAACAACAGTCTATGGGACAGCGGTAACACCTTAATTCTACACAATTCTACGCAATTCCACACCAGTCATATCACCAATCATGCATTCCAGCTGCAGTTCAACCAACATAAACACTTAACATTCGCGTAGTAGCTCAGAAACTGAGACTAAGTCTTAATGAAGTTGCAGCACAGAAAGGATGCCGAGTGTGTAGTTCAGGCAGAGAGGTAGGTTTTAAAGACCCTGGGCACATTTCAATTTTGAATATTTCAAGTCTCCATGTAATATTTAAAGGTCTACTACAAGTGTCTGTAATTTGCTGTTGAACGTTTTGCATATTTTGAATAAACAATGGCCAGTTTGGGTTACAGCACATTAATTATTACACAACATTAATTAAAAATGAAATAAACACATGTTTTTCTCTGGCCCACAGATTTGATATAATTTTCTAATATGGCCCTTTCACTGGTTGAGATTGGCTCCCCTGGGTATAAGCCATGTTTCTGTTAAACCAAGCTTAATGCTGATCAGTGATATTGCTCATTTAATATTACTCATAGAAACTCTGAACTGGAGACAAAGGGTTTTTAGCTCATCACAGATGATGCAACACCAGTCTGGCCTCTCCACGGCAATCCTGATGGTCTCGCTCAGCTTCACACACTCTGGTCAGATGACTGTGGCTCCTCAAGCAGAACTAATGCAGCAAAGATCTCAGTCGACTCTGAGTCCACTTTTCTTTAAACACTCCACACCTTTTCTTCATCTTTCCCCATATTTTTCACCATTAACATGTCATTCACCTCCTTCATAATGCTATAGAGCCCAGGGGTTCTAACATCACCTCTACTTTTTAAAACTTGCAAATATGTATATACAGACAAAAGTTTTGATGCCCTGAGTCGAATTACCTTTTGTTGATTTTCTAAGTGAAAACAAGTGAACACATCCTCTACAGAGAACACATTTCTGCACATTTTAATGCACAATCACTGTTTATTTGCTAAATTTAACAGAAAATTCATTAAATGTGGCCTGTGCATATGTTTTGGCACACTTTATATCATATGTTTTATGATATAAAATGTGCCAAAATCTATGCATTTACATTTACATTTAAATTTACATCATTTAGCAGACGCTATTATCCAGAGCGACTTACAAGAACATTTATTATGCAATGTGTTATTTCATTTTAATCCACAGCATTAAACAATCTTTGATATAATACTGAACTGACGGGGATACATTTGATATCAATCATGTGGTGAGTTAAGGGCCATTTAAAACTGTCTGGTTGCTCTAAGTGTTGTACTTGGGTTGTGCAGAAGCTGCAGAACTGAAATTTAGTTCTGAAAAAACCTCTGCATGAATTATGGCAGGCAGAACTCACTCATAGCTGCTGCAACCCTAGAAGACCCAGATGGCTGTGTACTGTTATGCTGTGTAGCAGATGCTAGGATGTCTTCTTCTTTGTCCAACTTGTCCCTAGCTGTTGTAACACTGTAAGACACAGTAGACTCAGTACTCTGCTGCTGTGTAGTGGACGCTAGGACGTCTTCCTCATTGTCCAACTTGCCTATAGATGTTGCAACACTGTAAGACACAGTTGACACACTACTCTGCCGCTGCGTAGTGGACGCTAGGACGCGTCCCTCATTGTCCAACTTGCCTTTAGCTTTTCTAACACTCAAAGTTGTTGACACAGTACTCTGCTGCTGTGTAGTGGACGCCATGATGTCCTCCTTCTTGCAGAACTTGCCTTTAACTGTTGTAACCCTAAAAGACATAAATAGCACAGTTAACCTCTGCATTAGGGGTTTAGAACTGACCTTATTTTTTCTTCATTTAACCTTATGGTTAAATGGCCAGGGCCGATCAGCAGACCTGAAGTTTTATTACACACTTATAACCTAAGAATGGCTCAACCAGTTTGTATTAAAGTTTCAGAATTAGTGAATAATAAGCCTTAGTATGTCATAAGCCTGGGATTTTAACAGTCTCATCTACTGATATTCAGCAGTAAATCAGATTTAATATACAACCCCATTTCCAAAAGTAAAAAAATGTAAATCAAAACAAAATGCAATGATGTGCAAATCTTGTAAACCCTATACTTCATTGAAAATAGTACAAAGACAACATATCAAATGTTGAAACTGAGAAATTTTATTGTTTTTTGAAAAATATATGCCCATTGTGAATTTGATGCCAACAACACATTCCAAAAAAGTTGGGACGGGGGCAACAAAAGGCTGGTAAAGTTGTGAAATGCTAAAATAAAATCACCTGGTGGTTGATTGACAACAGGTCAGTAACATGATTTGGTATTTAAAAGCTTCTCAGAGAGGCGGAGTCTTTCAGAAGTAATGATGAGGAGGGGGTCACCACTCTGTGAAAGACTGCACGATCAAATAGTGCAACAATTCAAGAATAATGTTTCTCAACGTAAAAGAGCAAAGAACTTCTGCTTTTCATCATCTACGGTAGATAATAACATTAAAAGATTCAGAGAATCTGTAGAAATCTCTGTATGTAAGGGACAAGGCCAAAAACCAGTAATTGCTGGCCGTGATCTTTGGGCCCTCAGGCACCACTGCATTAAAAACAGACATGATTCTGTAGTGGAAATCACTGCATGGGCTCAGAAACACTTCTGAAAACCACTGTCTATGAAAACAGTACGTTGCTGCATCCACACGATCCAGAAACGCTGCCACCTTCTCTGGGCCCGAGCTCATTTAAAATGGACTGAGGTAGAAAAGTGTCCTGTGGTCCGACAAATCAACATTTGAAATTCTTTTTGAAAATCATGGACACTGTGTCCTCCGAGCTAAAGACCACTCCGTTTGTTATCAAAGCACAGTTCAAAAGCCACTATTCATGATGGTATAGGGGGACATTAGTGCACATGGTATGGGTGACGTGCATATCTGTGAAGGCACCATTAATGCTGAACGATATATACATGTTTTGGCAACATATGCTGCCATCCAGACAACGTCTTTTTCAGGAAAGGCCTTGATTATTTCAGCAGGACAATGTTAAACCACATTCTGCACATATTAAAATAGCGTGACTGTGAAAAAAAAAGAGTCTGGGTGCTAAACTGACCTACCTGCAGTGCAGACCTGTCACCACTGAAAACATTTGGCACATTATGAAATGAAAAATACAACAAAGGGGACGCTGAACTGTTGAGCAGCTGAAATCCTGTATCAAACAAGAACAGAAAAATATTTCACTTTCTAAACTACAGCAGTGTCTCCTCAGTTCCCAAACGCTTACAGAGTGTTGTTAAAAGAAGAGGTGATGAAACACAGTGCTAAACAGGCCCCCGTCCCAACTTTTTTGGAACGTGTTGTTGGCATCAAATTCAAAATAGGCATATATTTTTCAAAAACAAACAAATTTCTCAGTTTCAACACTTGATATGCTGGTGGTATTTTCCTTTAAAAATAAGGTTTAAATGATTTTCATATCACTGCATCCTATTTTTATTTACATTCTGCACAGCGTCCCAAGTTTTTTGGAAATGAGGTTATAGTATAATAAAACAGAAACCCACATACATCTATATTCTAAAGGTAAACACTCACATATAGCCCTGCTTTGGACAGTCAGAAGGTGTTTTTTCAACTTTGATGATCTCTTTCTCTGGAATTTTAGAAGTGACGAAGTTCAAACAGCACTGATCAGAAGGAGTGATGGCACGAGCTGATATGAGGAAGAGCAGAAAACACTTTCACACTCGTTAAATAGAATCAGTTTAGGGTTAAATGAATGTGCACCAAACATCTTATCATCCTCTCATTACGAAACACCTAGAACTGCGTTCAGGGTATAAAAAGTGTAATACTACAACAATTATTACTATTAATACTGACACTACTACTAATAATAGTAATAACTGCTACCACTATTAAACAATAAAATGTATTATTAGGGAAATCTAGGACGTCCTCCTCCTTGTACAGCTTGCCTCGAGGTGTTGTAACCCTGAAAGTCTCGGGTGGTCTGGGTTTCTCCTGCTGTGTAGAGGACGATCGGACTTCCTCTTTGTAGAAGCCGCTGCTAGACCTTATAATGCAGAAAGACACGGATAGCACAGTCAGAGTAGAATAATGTTTAATAAATATATTCTTTATTTTGTATGATGCAGTTTTATAGACTGCAGCGGCTCCTTTTTGTGCAGCTGCTGTGTGTTCAAGCGCAAATGCTCACAGCAGGTAAAAGGAGACGGTGAGCTGATGGAAGGAGATCATCAGTCGTCTTAGCTGGCACTAGTTCCATATCGCGCTGTGGCTTCTGAACTTAAAGTAAGTAACCTGATTAACTTGAAATGTTGAGTTTGTTAAACTTATAATATTAAGTTAGTGGAACAATAATTTGTGTTTTACACTTGTAAACTTCTTACAAGTTCAATGTTTTAAGCTTTAAAAGTTGCATAATTGTTGCAGCATGATCATATTGTATTATATTATATTATATGTCAGTAAAAATGAGCAAATAAATGCTTTTAATTTCTGCATATGGGTTATAGAGAATAGTTGTGGCCAACAATCAGTGACCTTTTGCTTTATGATGAACGGACACATTAAGCGTCTCTGTTTTCCTTTTCTTCTGTTTTCATGGTGGTGAATATGAGAATAACAGAGTCCCTTAGTTACTGAATAATAAGCCTTAGTATGTAACAAGCTTGAAATTTTAAGAGGTTAAACAAGCACTGATGATATTGTTGTGGCTTCAAGAAATGCTTCTGCATGTTAGTTTGGGGTCTGTGTTCTCTTGCATTTCTTGCACTTGGTTCATTTTGCTAAGGACTTTTACTGTAGAGGGCGGGGCTAGGAGAACAACCCCCACCCCCCCGCTGTGCGTGCATGAGCTGAGAGAGAGAGACAAGCAAATGTGAGCTGAGTCAGAGTGCTGGCTGTGGCAAAACGTTTAGCTTATGTACGGCGTGGCTGTGGCAAAAACAGCTGGAAAATAAAGCACTATGTGCAAAAGCTGTGGCTCTTTTAATAGCAGTGAATGCTGCAATATTGAAAAAGCAAAGCACTGATTAATAAATCATGTGATGATTAAAGGGGTGTGTAAAGCTTTTAGCTGCTCTGTGTGCTGCGTCTGCGTCTGGGCTGTGTTGAAGCTGCAGCTCTGAAATCTAGATTTACTGCAGGTCCTTCTTGCAGAATCTGCCCCTCGACGTTGTGTACCTGAAAGACAGCACAGTTAACCTCATTATGTTTTCACTGAAGAGAGTCTCATCTACTGATAATAAACAGCAAATTTAGATTTTATGTAGAAACAAATGTGTTTATGTGACATAATAAAACAGTAAACCACATATCCTCACTGTCGGAAACGGGACATCGCCCGGCCTGGGCTGTCAGGTAGAGATCTGGGCGGGACTGAAATATCTGACACAGTCTTTTCACAAATATATTATCCTCTGCTTAAATAACACGGCAGTCGTGGTCAACAGACTCACAGTGAGTAACTTCACCAAATGCCATTTATTCCCAGTAAAAACAAAACATGAATTAAACCACAGAGCGGTTATTTTTGGTGTTTTGCTGGGCAGCTGTGTCCATTGGACTGAAGTCTCTGCCGTCGCTACGAGAATCTGTGTGTTGTTTAGGTGATTGGATGCTTCACAACTCTTTAAAATGACTTCATTCATTTTATTTGTTGTACTTATCCTTTTATAGTGTTTATATATATATATATATATATATATATATATATATATATATATATATACCAGCCCAACCCGAGCCCAATGAAAAATGTTGGCCTGAAGTTGTGTCGGACCCATCGGGCTGCAGACCTCTAACACTGTTCATCAGGTTTAGCGTGTTTCTAGTTTGGTTATAGGCCACAAGAATTTTACTGAATGACTTTTTAGCTCTGGAAATTTATAAAACTGTAAGTAAAATGTTCCTCTGTTAGATGAATAATAGAGAGCTGTGTAGAGGAGATGATTGATGTGGAGTGAGAAGAAATGTTGAGAAACATTGCACATTTTGTTGTGTAAATTCTTGTATTTAAATCCCAAATTCATTTAATAGTGAACTCTGCTGAGCCCCATGTCCCGCCAACCACATTGGTTGGAACAATAAACTCATCTTCATTTTCATGACATGATTTGAAAACAGCCAATGTCGTTTACATTGTGCCAAAATTTCATGATGAATGGACCAACAGAAATGCTCCAAAATTAGTTTGGAAAAAAATCCCATTGAGTTAAAAAATATACATTTTAAAGTTAGGAAAGTTTTTTGTTCTCCTGAAAAGTTATGACAGGATATGAGGTTTTATTCTGACAGTGATGATTTACATCTTCTAAAGGCAGTTACTCACACATAGCCTTGATTTGGGCTATGTGTGAGTATTTTTTTGTGGCTTTACAACTTCTAGTATTTCTTCATCTGGAATTTTAAAAGGGACGAAGCTGAAACAACAGATATCAGGATGATCATTGATACCACCAGCAGAAGAAGAGGAGAAGAAAGATTTTCAAACTCTATCTCTAATGATGAAACACTTGAACCTGCATTTTCTGCACACTACTTTTATAATAAGGTTATAATAAAAATCAGATACTTATTCATGTCATGGACTTTTATTCATAGAATTATTAACGTTTTTATGAAAATCTATTTTATTTCCCTGTTTAAAAACCTTTAATTGGTCTTTTTGCTCACTGAGCGGCAAGTTAACAGTGGCTTACTTTGTCTTTCAGACTCAGTTCAGCTTAAACACTGACATATAACATTTTTTTCAGTTTTACAGACTGAAGCTCCTGTTAAGACAGAGTGGTTTCCCTCCACTCAGGTGCATTAAGTGCACATCGTGCTTCAGGGAGATGGAAGGGGATCATCAGTCAGTCTTAGTTGGCATTAGCTCTTTATCAGCTTGGTGTGTCTGAGCTCTTACGCATATGTAATTTAACATGCTACCAGCTGACCTACAGAACGTAACTCATGCAGCTTACACTGTACAGATTTGCTGATGTAGATTTCAAATATTTAAAAATATTGCTCCACTGTAATTGGCCATTTCGATAAATATGTTATCAGTGACTGTGTGAGAGTTTGAGTGAAAGTAGGGGAGCAATTTTTTCAAATGCTAAAATGTGTTAACTATATACTAACATTAGTCAGCTATAGCCTTTCACAAACACGTGTGTTTAATAATATAGGGGTGAAACGATGCAGAGCTGCTCCATTTACTGTTTTTGTGTGTCCTGTTAAAAATAAGACATTAATGAGACATAATTCATCTGTGTTCAGATGGCGGAGCGTATCTTATCTTACAGCAGGAAGCAGACTAGAGTTCAAAAATGTTCGGAAAGCTTGCTCAACATGTGTCACTTCTTATGAGGTAACCAATCAAAAAAGAGGGTAAAACTGAACCGGAGTACTGTGGGCTGAAATAGTGAGACAGTTTTGTTCATATTTGTGATTAAAAAAGAATCAGCCTGAAGATGAATATGAATTCCTTGGTGTATGTACATCCTCTCCACTGCTATCACTGAGGTTTGCTAAAAAACCTTGAAAATAGACGATGAGCTCCTCTCAGCACTGTAGCTTGGTGAGAAGCGTACTTCCATGTAGAAATACGATGCTGTGTCTCTTTCTAACATTGCTAATGTTCACGTGGGCTAAAGAATTAAACCTGGTGGACTTTTCTACTCGTCTTTCTGCGTCTCCTCCAAAAAGAAATGCAACAACCGCTAGTTTATTCAGTTTATCCATTTAGCGGTGTGTGATGTGCCCATAAACGTGTCACAGACGGATTCCCCGCGGTTTAGATGCAGATTTTTTGCAATGTGCGTTCTGCCATCTGAACACAGCCTTAATCATCTTTTTGAGATAATAAGCTATAATAAACTATCTGGCAAGAACAGGCTTCCAATTGAATGTACACTTTTGCGTTGTGGTGGTCCTTGTTCATCCAATTCATGAGGCATTTTCTCTAATGTCCATCACAGATGACAGGTTTACTTCACAGGAGATTCATTAAATTCCATAAAAACTATAACTTTGTAATCTTATCTATCAATTGTTGTCCTACTTTCTTTATGGCTCTAAATCAAACGCACATATTAAGAAGTACATGAATATTAAGAATAAAAATATCACTAATCAGTGCAGTTTCTGATATTGTGAAGTAAAAGTTGTCCTGACTTTTTTTTTCTGTTGTCTTCATTTGATACTTCAATATAGTGATCATTAGATTAAGTTACAGATGATGTTAAATTGTAGAGTTAGTCAGTAATCTGTACTGTATACGTGTTTAAAGTAACCCTCCCAACCCTGAACACAGTGAGCTGCTGCTGTACGGGGTTAAAACTGACCTCATGTATCTTACAGTCAATAGAGTCTCAACTACTGAAATTCAGTAATAGATCAGATCTAATATACAGACAGATGAGTTTATATCACAATAAAACAGTAACTCACATGTATATCCTCTAAAGTTAGATACTCACATATAGCCCTGATTTGGGCAGAAGTGATGTGTTTTTACAACTTCTAGTATTTCTGTGTCTGGAATTTTAAAAGTGATGAAGTTGAAGCAGCACAGATCAGGATGGCACAAACCATGAGCTGAGGAAGAGAAGAAGAAAACATTCTTAGTTTATGTTTTAATTACTGTAAAAAATCAACACAACTTCATCAGCTCCACTACAGCTACACCTGAACACAAAGCACATGTTAAATACAGACTGTTCAGGGTTAAATGACTGTATAGCAACCAAGAAAATCTACAACGTGTTTTACTATTAATAATAATAACTACGTAATATTAAGCCTATACATAACACTAGATGAAGTAATTAATATGAATTTATTAGTAATTGTATCATTAAACCTAGCATGATTTAATATGAATAATTGTATGTATTTTTATTATTATTTTAATGCTACAGACATATGCGAAATTTTGGACAACCTTGTCCGAGTTAAAATAACATAACACACTCTATACAGAGAACACATTTCTACACATTTAAATGACTGTATATTTATGAATGTAACATGAAAAAAAGAAAAATAAAATTAAGTACAAATCTTCCAAAGTAACATGTAAATATAGTAATAATGTACAACTACTACTAAGTATTTCCCACCCCTGATTGTTCACGCATGTAAAGCTAGAAAATGGATTAAGATATTATAAACTCACGGCAACCATCTGAGGAGATGGTCATCAGCAGGACCAGCCCCGGCACCAAACACACACAGCTCATCTTCATCTCCATCTTCTCTGCAGGCGTCTGAAGCTCTGAATGTTTCTATCTCTGTCTGTATCTCCAGTTTGAGCTGCTGAGACTCTCAGTCTTTTAAAAGAAATCACTTAAATTTGAATCATTTCTTAAAGCTCCCCTCCCCACTCAGCTTCCGGCCCTCACCACATCTTCCTCTCAGAGTGCAGAGCAGAAACTCTAGTATGAAGATGATCCATGAAGATAGCAGCTCTGATGAATCTGATAAGTTCAGTGGTCTAAATATCAGACAGTTACTGAAAACCTGTCACGCAGTTTGTTTATGCAGTAATAATTAAGAAATCATCATTTAAATTTATCAAATTAGCCCAACCTGTTACATAACTCAGTCTATCAAACCTAATTAGATGCAAAGGTGCAAATGTTTTGTAGAGAACTCGGCAAACAGCTTTTCATCTTTCAATCTTCTGATCTGGTTTGTGTTTCTGTAAAGTTGCAAATATATAAATTTCTCTTTTAAGTGAAAAACACTGCAGTTAAACGCTACAGAGAGAATGAGGCTCCTAACAGCCCCCTGTTTCTTCCCCTGTGTTGTAGCCATGTGCATTTAGTTTTTATTTTGGCTCCTTGTCTCTGCCCTTTTTCTCTCCTTCCCTATTAGGATTCTCACCTGCTTGTAGTTCCTGTCTCCTCCCTCTCGCTGGTGTTCCCCGCCTATATCAAGCCCTTCGTTTCAGCTCATGGGTGTCTAGTCTACATTATGTTGTTACATGTAGTGATGACGTGTCTGCCCAGTGTTTGGTTTGCTCTGGATGTTTGTTGGTTAAAAGGCTTGTAGTTTGTTATTTTGTTTCTTTCTCGGTGTTTGTTATAGTTTGTTTTTTGTTTATTAAATTATCCTCACACTTACATTCAGCCTCATTATTCTCCACACGCGACACCAGGGAGACCTGGTAGACAGCAAAACTGCCCCCATCAGATAAACAGCACTTAAAGCTTTCATCTTTGAGAGAGAGGAGAAAATCAAGCTGCTTTAGGGGAGCTGAGCACCGAGTAAGACAACCCCATCACTCTATAACAGTACTTAACTGATACACATACAGACAGCAGTAGTCTAGCACCTTGGCTTTAAGATCAGCACAATAGCCCTGTCTCATTATTACACTGTTTTATGGTTCTGCAAATGTAAAAGCACACAAAGCCTCTACAATATCACCACTACATTACTGCATCACTCTCTTATATCACATCAATGAAATACTATTACAATATAGATAATTCACTCGAAATGTATGCAATGCATAGTTTTATTTTTTGTTTTTAGTTTTTATTCTGAATCACAGTGTAACACAAACATTAAACATATTTCATAGAAGCAATACATTGTGTATCGTATAGAAGCTGCAACACTGAAATCCAATTTGTCTTTATTACTGTTACTTTTCTCTGCAGAGATTTTTGTAATACATTGTTTGATTTCCACACATGATAAACATGATAAAAAAGCTGATAAAATATTAAATAGCTAAACTGAGTAAAAAACCAAAGCACTGATTAATAAATCCTGTGATGATTAAAGGGGTGTGTAAAGCTTTTAGCTGCTCTGTTTGCTGCGTCTGGGCTGTGTTGAAGCTGCAGCTCTGAAATCTAGTTTTTCTTCAGGATTATTTCCTCCATGCAGAACTTGTTCTTCTTCGTTGTAACCCTGAAATATGTTAATCAGATTTGATGTAGAAACAAATGTTATTAAATGATATAATAAAACAGGAAACAATCTATCATTGCTGTCAGAACAAAACCTTGTCAAATTATTTTTTTTAACATGATTTGAAATCAGCGGCTGTTATTTACAATCAGACTTTCATGATGAATGGACCAGTAGAAATACTCCAAATATAAAACTTAAAGTTAACTCCTTAAAATCACAGGCTTATTACTTTATTTTACTCAGATTCACAAATGAGTTTTCCTTTACTAAACTGCATCTGTAGGTCTCTGTTCATAAACATAAACTAGCCAAAACTAATTTACTATAAAATGAAATAGTGTTTTTATAAATTCAGAAAAAAGACACATCAGTCACAACTGCATATGTGTACATATTTCTATATTGTGGTCTGTTTACACAAAGTTAGGTTAGTTCATCATTTATGTTGAATAGACTCTCCCAAAGTTTTACGCTGCTGCGCTGAAGTTGAACCGTGTGCTGCACTGGGTCGGTATGACCAACAGGTCAAAACTAAGTGTGCGCTGGGCCCTGATTGGTGTTCTTGCTTCACGCCTCTTTCCTTTTGACGCTACGTTTTCATACACACATACAAACCAATACAAACCAAAAGGAACGACAGATTTCTCATAATGTAGTGGAGTAAAAAGTGAGATATGTGACTTTGAAATGTAGTGGAGTGAAAGGAAAAAGTCACCCAAAATGAAAATCCTTCAGTAAAGTACAGATACATGAAAAAACTACTTAAGTACAGTAACCAATTACATTTACTTTGTTACTGTCCACCACTGCAAAAACTTGCCGATTTTATCAGTCTAAGCGGTGTGTGCTCGGCTGGAGCAGAAGGGTTTCTACAGTGAGCAAAAGTTGTAACGATTTAAACTTTTTAGACCCTCGATGGATCAATTCAAAACGATAATCCTTTCGATTAGGTCACAGATTACGTTATATTACAGATTATTAAGAGTTAGTCAGTAATCTGTACTGTACATGTGTTTAAAGTAACTCTCCCAACCCTGAACACAGTGAGCTGCTGCTGTACGGGGTTAGAACTGACCTCATTCTTCTTACAGTCAATAGAGTCTCAACTACTGATATTCAGCAACAAATCAGATACAATATTCAGACAGATGAGTTTATATCACAATGAAACAGTAACTCACATGTATATCTTCTAAAGTTAGATACTCACACATAGCCGGGCTTTGGGCAGCTGGAATATGTTTTTTCAACTTTTATGATATTGTCTTCTGGAATTTGAAAACGGACGAAGTTGAAACAGCACTGAACAGGATGGCCAGTGGCTTCAGCTGAGGAAGAGAAGAAAACATGCTTAGTTTATGTTTTAATTACTGTGAAAACCAACACACCTTAATCAGCTCCACTACAGCTACACCTGAACACAAAGCACATGTTAATCTGTCCAGGGTTAATAACTGTGCCCAAACATCAAAATCTGTTTTAATAATAAAACATCCAGAACTGCATTGTTTTGTAAATTCTGGATGATGTGCAAAACTACAATATTCTTTTTTTTAATACTACTGATTATCCTACTACTAATACTGATGTACATTACTACTACTACTACTACTACTACTACTAATAATAATAATAATAATAATAATAATATTTTTAGTACTAGTGGAAGTACATAAAGTTATTAGTAATAGTATTTATATGAATATAAGCAATAGTTAATGTAAATATTGTAATATTTTTAATTGTGTTTTATTGTTACTTGTTACTTATTTTCAGTTAGAAAATGAACAAAACCCTGCAGAACGTTTAAACGTCTGCGTAAGACTGTATGGCTGTATCTGTTTATAAAGACAGAAAATGCAAACTCACTTGCATCTGAGGAGACGGTCATCAGCAGGACCAGCCCCAGCACCAAACACACACAGCTCATCTTCATCTCCATCTTCTCTGCAGGCGCCTGAAGCTCTGAATGTTTCTATCTCTGTCTGTATCTCCAGTTTTAGCTGGTAAGGCTCTGTATTTAAATTAGTTTCTTTTCAAACATTTATTAAAAGCAGGCAGTTCTGCCCCCCACCACCCCCACCACTCACCACATCTTCCTCTCAGAGTGAAGAAGCAGAAGCTCCAGTGTGAAAATGACTCATGATAGCATCAGATGTATCAGATAAATGCCATGTATGAGTCTGCAGACAGTCAGTTAAGGTACTCACTCTGTTCATGAAGTAACTGATCACAACACACTTGCACATATGCATCACAGCTAATTTGATGCAGAAGAGGAAAAGTGTTGTAGAGAACTACACAAACGGCTTTTCATCTTCTTAAAACCTTCCTATCTGGCTTATACTTTTGTGATGTTGCAAAAACATTCATTTTTCTTTTAAGTGAAAAAAACAAGTTTCCAAAACTGAAGTTCAAAAAGGGAAAATGAGACTCCTAACAACCACCTGGAAGACCTGGTAGACACCAAAACTATCCCCATCAGATAAACAGCACTTAAAGCACAGATGTTTCTGTCCATCCTTCCACTGAGAGAAGACGACTCAGCGCTGTGGGTCTGAAAGGATGTGTAGCTGTCAAGAAGCCTTTAATAGGTCATAGAAATAGACCAAAAAGAAAAATATCTGCACTAATGCACCAAACCAGTGCCACTGCTAGTGTCCACTCCTACCTTGGCGTCACGTCCTCCTCTCCTCTTCCTCCTCAGCAAGGTGGATCTCCTCATGGCTCGTGGTATTACTCCTGGTGCTACTGGCAACAGCAGTGGCACTTTCTCTGGTCACTCTCTACTTTCTCTGCCCTCCCATGACTAACCATCCAGCCTTTCTGTGCCACATCTGGCCCCCAGCTGTGCCGCACCTGCCTCACTGTCAACCTTCCTGGAATCTTCCCTGTCGTTGGGCCTTCCAGAGCCAGCTTGGCCTCCAGCCCTGCCATGCTGGCCTTGCCATCAGGCCTCCTTCTGCCAGCTGCTCTCTGTGCATCATCACCAGCAAGTTCTAGCGGCTAGCTGCCGTCCTCCAGCATAGCTCTGCTGTCGAGCCTCATCATGCTGCCCTAAACACTGACTACTCACCACCCATCTTCTCCATGCTGCTCCTCCTTGCAGTCCTTGGCCAGGATTGATCTTCTCCACCATTTTGTCACTAAGATTGCCATTCCCCTCCAGTTCACTAGGGGGCAATCCCACTTCTGACATCAATGTGGTGTCAATGTAGAATAAGAAGATGTGGGAAACATGGCACCTTCAATGAGTGCTCTTTTATTGACACAGAAGCAGGTTAGACCCACTGCTGCAGAAAGGAAAGCAGCATAGGTCACCTATGGCCACACCACTCTACCTGACAATATGCCGTAACTTTATTCCAAGTACCTCAAAGCCCAACCCAGAACAGCACAAACCACACATATACACATCCCCAAACCCAAAACAACAACTGATTATAAGATATTTGTCTCTCACTCCATTG